ATTCAACAACATTAAGGAAGTCTTAGGATTTAAATATCATCCTTATCATCGTCGTTATGCGGTTGGGATTCCCTGATGGTTCTTTCAATTGACGAGAGACGACCATCAATATCTTGAACCAACAGATGGAAGAAGTCATGGCATCCACACTTTGATGCATGTAAGCATTCAAGTCTTCATAATTCTTTTACTGAATGTCAAATCTCTGTTCTTGAGCAGCTGCAAAGTCTGCTTGCCATTATTGTTGGGAGGAGTACCACTGATTCTGAATAGCAGAATAATCCAACTACTACTGTTGCATACTTCATAGCATTGCCATATAGTCATCATGGGCAAGAGGAGGCTGAGGCACATCTTGCTCCATTGTTGCTGGTCTTTCAATTTGAATGGGTTCATCCTGAGGAACCCATGAGTCTTCAAGCTTGTGTAGACCCATCCTGTGCAGCACATTCTGACCAACTGTGTTGCTGCTATCCAGCATTGCATGTCTCTCATTGGAGACATTTACACCCGTGTAGACCAAAATTTTTGAAATAAAGAGGGCATAGGGCATATGAGAATGTAAATGACTAGTAGTGCACAAATGAGAAGTAATGCTGACTAGCCAATTGAGAGGGATACCACTTGTTATGCCATAGAGGAGAAGTACGTCCTCAGTAGTCAGCTGGGCATGATTTGTCTCACGAGGACAAATTATCCAACTAAGAACATACACTAGCAAGCGTTCATTTACCCTCATGGGGCCAGTCTTGTATAACCTAATATTTCCAACATTTTCATCTCGAAGAAAACTCCAGTAGACCTGCATTTTATTGAACCCTTCAAAGCCTTCAGTAATGTCCACACCAACATTGGTGGGAACTCCAGTCACATTTTGCCAGATATCGTCATCTAGCACTATATCAACCCCTTTTACCCAGGAATAGTAGAGGTCATCCTCATCCCACTTTAGATTACTGTAGAATACTTTCACCAAATCAAATATAGTAAAACTTTGCAGTGTGGTCTCCACTTCCTAACTCCAGATATGTAGAGAGACCCTGATTTGCAAGAAGCTCTTGGAAAGAGAAACCTTCAGAACAGAAGTAATCTATAGACATATGTTTTGGAGAAACTAACTTCCTGTCCCTAAAGGATTGTAGAAACCTTTCTTGAAGATCTTCATCAGAAATCCAACTAGATAGATTGTTGGACCTGACAGGTGCTGAAGACTATTAGAAAAAGAGGTTGAGATCAAGAGGGGGGGATGAATTGATCTTTGAAAGATTTTCGCACTTTCTTGAATACAGATTATCTATTCCAAAAATTTAGAATTCTGAACTAGTATTGAATCAAGAAAATCAAGCAATTTCAATATAATGCAACAACGAAATTAAAGAGAGTAAAGGTTTAGAGAAATACAACCAAGATTTATACTGGTTCACCCAAACCCTAGGGCTACATCCAGTTCTCAGCCAAATTCAAGCTGAGTTCCACTAGATTGAATGATTTACAAATTACAATTCTGAATCACATAACACTCAATCTACCACAAGAACCAAATTCCAGTTCCTGAACTAACCTGCAGCCAAATTTCAGCTACAGAACCAGTGCCCAACACTTCCAGACACACAATACAATAAAGAAAAGAACAAAGAGAAGAAACTAGAACAATCAAACCCGGATTATGTAGCTCTTGCAGAATGAGTTTCTTCACAAAAAGAATGCAAAAATGCCTCAAGAAATAACTTTGAAAAACTCCACAAAACTTGCGCAATTCTTTCTTGAAAGTAGCTCTTATAATTGCTTGATTGATTCCTCAAAAAGTGTATTTTAAAACGTTGAATCAAATCTGTTTATATAGAGATATTTTTCAACTACGGGTTTAATTAATATGTTAAAATAGTCTTTTAATCTATTAAAAGTCTTCGATTAATCAGTTAAAACATATTTTAATCTGTTAAAATGTTCTTGATTATTTTCCATATTTATTTTAACTGATGATACAACATTTCAATCGATTAAAACAATTAGTAAAAAGTCCATTAAGTTGTTTTAATCGATTATTTCGCAGTTTACTCGATTAAAATTCGGCCAATTATTTTTACAAAACTTTATCAGTGATTTGAACTGATAACAACATGTTTTAATTGACTAAAACACTTAGTAAAAAATCCATTGAGTTGTTTTAATCGATTAATTCGATTTTACATCGATTAAAATTATGATCTGATCGATCATTTTCAAGATTACATCGATTAAAAAACACTCTAAGTGGTTTTAATCGATTATTTCAAAGTTATATCAATTAAAATACTATCAGAACACTTTTCAAAATATCTTAAGTGATTTTAATCGATTATTTCGAATCTATATCAATTAAAATACTGGCAGAAGGTTTCCAAATATTCCTTTAATGAAAATAATCGATTATTTCGAATGTTTATCGATTAAAATAGTTCCAATGAAAGTTTTAAATATTTTAAATCGATTATTTCGAAAACCTATTAGTTAAAAATCTATCATGTAAGTTTTAAGAACATTTTAATTGATAAAGTTCATATAATATTAGTTAAAAACATCTCTAGAGGCATTTTTCAAACTCTTTCAAATGATGAAACCTCATGCAGCAGAGAGATATGAGTGAATACCTATTAATATTGATAATGACTCACTAATCACTCTACCCTTTAACTCAATTAAAATATTAATATTTTAAAATTTAAATTTAAATATAAAGTCGCGGGGACGGGGCGGGGATAGGTGAGTTTTATCATTTAAAACTATACATATATATATATATATATATATATATATATATATATATATATATATATATATATATATACATATATATATATATACATATATATATATATAACTTTTTATTTTACCTAATATATATAACTTTTTATTTCTTTTATTATTTGAAAATAAAATATTTGTTAAAAAAACAAAATTAAGAATAAAAATAAAAAACAAACTACAATTAAAAAATATAAAATATTGATTGTCAGATATTTGTGTTGATAATAAGAATATTATATATTTTTTAATATATATATATATAACGTATAAAAACAGGTATTAACCACACTTTAAAGTTATTTAAATATTCTTAAATTATTATATATAAAGTAAATTGATTCAATTTTATATTAATATAAGTATATTTAATTTTATTATATCTAATATTACAAAAGTATACTCTTAAATTATTATATATAAAGTAAATTGATTCAATTTTATATTAATATAAGTATATTTAATTTTATTATATCTAATATTACAAAAGTATTTTTATTATTAAGAAAAAATATTTTAAAAAAATATCTATCATATATGATTCTACTTTATTTATTGAATTATTATTAAAAAATTATTTTAGGAAATATTTTCATAATCTTATGATCACTGGTTTAACAAATTTCCTATTTGTTGCATTTTAATCCTTTCTTTTCTATCTTTTATCAAACGTGGAACCAAAATTATAATTAAAGAAGTCAATTAAAATATACATTAAAATTAATTATTTATAAAAATAATTATATTTATAAAATTATCTATATATTTTAATTATATTTAATATTATAAATATCTTCAGTTATTATATTAATTTATATGATAGTATATGATAGGTTTTTTATTAACATTTTTAATATTATTAGTTAAATTAAAAAAGATTGTGAAGTATTCCTTTGTTGCTTCACTTAAAAACAATTGTGAAATATTTTATAATTTTGATGTATTAAGGTAAAATGATAAAATAAAAAATGAAAATATGAAAATAAAAGAATGAGTTTAAAAATTAACGTAAAAAAATAAAAAAATGGAGGATGAAATAATAAAAATTTAAAAATAAAAGAATGAAAAAATATATAATTAAGAATTTGTGTGATATATAAAAATAGTATTTATTATTATTATTATTATTATTATTATTATTACAAAAGAAAAAATATAATGTTTAATTTAATTTAAATTTAAAACATAATTTTATTTTATTTTTAAAATTTTAATTATTATATATATAAAATGAAACATGTCACTTGTCCGCCAGGGGTTATATTTAGATTTTTGTTTAATTATATTCTTTTACATTTAAAACTATGGGATTGTTATAATTTATCCTCATATCTCCTTTTGCTCAAAGTTTCAATAAATTAAATATTTTATTTTTAGTTCTCATTAAAAAAAATATGTTTTAATACTATTATACACTCTCTTTTTTTTTCATAATTTAGTATTTGAGTTTATCTATTAACAAATATTCATTTTAATCTTTATTATTTAATAAATATATGTTTTTCCTAGTAGATTGGTTTTGCCAAGGTATCGATAAACTGCAAAATAAAATTTTAGAGAAATTAAATTTATGAATAAAATACATATGGAAATCTTAGAGTGAATACATTAAGAGAGAAAAAAAACTAAAGAAAATAAGTTTGCACAATCAGTTCATCATACATGATTTTGTTCAAATAAATTAATCTGTAAATATTTAGAAGAAAAAGGAATAAAATAAAATATCATATTTTAAAAAATTAAAATTAATTCATATATAAATTCAAAATCAGATTTTAGAGAAATTACATGACAATTTTTTATATGTATAAATTAGTTTTTATAAACTTATTGTACTTTTTTTATAAAAATATTATTCGAACTTACTCATAATTATGCAAAATAAATTTATTAAAATTCATATAAAATATAATGTGACTAATTTACTTTATACCTTCAATCCATAACTATTAAAACTAAGAATAACATAGGAAAAACATATTTTGATACCACTGTTCACACAAACAATCATTAAACAGCATTTGATATTATAATAATAATTCTAACTTTTTTTATTTTTATTAAATCTCTTTCATATCTATTATATTAATAAAATGAGTTATTTTTTTTGGAAGGTTGTCAATATATCATGGTTCTAACGTATATATTTAAAGCCAGATTTTCCTTTGTTTTTCTCCTTAACGAAACATGTAAATGGACGTAATTGGGAAGTTAACGCCAAGTTGTCGCTGTCGCTGCAAGCAGAGCAATCCCAAAGGAGGTCAAGGTTGTTCCATGAATGCTAACAAAACTAGTGGCTCCAGAGCTTTCCTTGGCTGCATGAGCCTGGTCATCGTCTTCTGCTGTAGAGTTGTCCTTATCAGCTTTAGGTGCCTTGGCCACAGCTGGTGCTGGAGCTATACTCTTAGGCTTAGAGAAGTCCAAACGAATTAGCACCTTGTCCACATGATATATGGCAAGTGTCTTATCTGTGTACACACAATTCCTGTGAGTGTGATAAAAATATTTCCAAAAACCCCTGTTTTGTATTGAATATGATAGCACAATATATACATGAAATACAGAAACATTCTAGGCTATAATTACGCTAACCATTATAGTCGGTATCCTAAATTTGTCTATTAACAGATATGACATTAATGTGCATCATCTGTCATGCCAAGCTAAATATGGAAAAAATTAATCATGTAGAATCATGGCATGATACTGGTATTTGTAATCGTATATTCTATGCTTATCACCCTCCCTCAAGATGGAGTATGAAGGTTGTGAATGCCCAACTTGCTCAAAAAGAACCAAATTTAGTGGCACCAAGAGATTTGGTGAAGAGATCAGCCAGATTGATGATGAGTGGACACATAGGAGGGTTGGATATGATTGTGTTGTATTTCATCACGAATAAGATGACAATCCACTTCAATATGTTTTGTCCGTTCATGAAACACAGGATTCTTGGCAATGTGAAGGGCGACTTGGTTGTCACGATAGAGAGTCATAGGGTCGGTGTGAGTAATGCCTAGGCTCGAAAGAAGGCCTTGAAGCCATTTCAACTCACATGTCGTGTTGGCCATAGAACGATATTCACGCCTCAGCGGATGATCGAGAAGCCGTATGTTGCTTCTTGGTTTTTCGAGAAACGGGGGATTGACCAAGGAAAATAAACCAACCGGTGAGAGATCTTCGAGTTAGAGGACAACTTGCCCGATCCGAGTCACACCAACCATAAAGACGAAGGTCACTCTCTCTTTTAAAAGCACACCCTAACACTGGGCTGCCCTTTAAATAGCGTACCACGCGGAGTGCAGCCCTGCCAATGCTCCTGACGTGGTTGGTGCATGAATTGAGATAGGACATGAACAACTGTAAGATAATTCGAGTCGTGTAAAACACAAGTAAATAAGGCGACCGACGAGACGTCGATATTGACTCGGGTCGAGAAAGTAGTTCGCCATCGGCCAATGCTAAACGATGATTTTCTTCGATTGGCGTGGACACAGGTTTCCCTCCAAGCAATCCTGCTCAGCTATGATGTCCAACGCATACTTCAGTTGACACAAGAAAATTCCTGTAGGAGATCCGGCAACCTCCACCCCAAGAAAGTATTTTAATTTCCCTAAGTCCTTCATACGAAAACATTGATGAAGATAATCTTTGAATTGCGCAATGTATTCATGATGATTGCCGACAATGACTAGGTCATCCACGTAAACTAACACAACCGAGTTCGACATCTCCTTTGCGAAAGATGAACAAGGAGTGATCGGACGAAGAACGTTGAAACCCATATTGAACAAGAGCAGTTGAGAGCTTGGCAAACCAACACCGAGGAGCTTGACGAAGACCATAAAGGGACTTGCGGAGACGACACACCATACCCTTTTGAGACACCAAGAACCCCGGCGGCATTTTCATGTACACATCTTCCTCAAGATCGCCGTGCGGAAAAGCATTATGGACATCCATTTGATGAAGTTCCCGGTCTTTGGCTACGCCACTCGCCAACACCTGTCCAGAATGGTGACCATCTTTGCCATCGGGGCAAAAGTCTCGTTATAGTCAATCCCCTCAACTTGGTGATTTCCCAAGACAACTAATCGGGCTTTGAAGCGTTCAACGCTCCCATCGGAATGATATTTGATTTTATAAATCCACTTGCAACCCGGAGGCTTCTTCCTCTGCGGTAGAGGAGTAATGTCCCATGTTTCATTACTTTGGAGGGCTCGAATTTCACTAGCCATGACATCTCTCCATCTAACATCCCGAACGGCTTCAAAGAAATGCACGAGGTTCTCTCTCGCATGAAGGGCTGCAAGAAAGGTTCGGTGGGGGAAGGAGAATTTAGCACAATTTAAGTACTTTGTCAAACTGTAAGGCATACCCGAGGAAGCTCGAATGTGGAGTGCGAATTGAGGGACCGAGTTGTAAAGTGGTGTTAGTGACATAATCACGAAGCTTCACGAGATGGCTTTCGTACACGAAGACCTTTCCCCGGGGATGCGGGGACAGTATGCTCCTCAGGAACCTCTAGTTACTGTCATCATAGAGTCGGTTTGTTACGGTGGGAGAACGATCTAGGTGGGAGGCTCTTGTTCATGGCATTCGGCGTGGCCCTCCCCGAACTCGGTTGTGGGCACATCTTCGTTGTGGGGTTAACGTCATCGGTCTCCACAACGTGTTCGCATTGTTCATTGCACCAAGTCCAGGCAATGCTTCCTCGACAATGCCAACATCAACGGTAGGCAATCCTACCTCCGAATGTCTACTGTGGGCAAGAGAGGCAAACGGGAATTCATGTTCTACAAACTTAACATCTCTCGAAGTCCGGAAGACTTCTCTTTCCGGATCAAACAATTTCCAACCCTTTTTTTCGATTGAATATCCAACAAATACATTCTTGCGACTTCTACTTGCAAATTTGTCACCTTTCCTATCTTGGTTATGTGCATAACACAAGCATCCAAATACCCGTAGATGGTCATAAGTGGGTGGCTTCCCATTCAATATTTCATATGGAGTTTTTCCATGGAGAACGGTTGAGGGTGTACGATTGATCAAGTATTCCGCGGTCAAAATGCATTCTCCCTGAATTGAAGTGGAAGTTCTCCCCGAAATCGTAGAGCACGAGCTACATTTAGGATGTGTCGATGTTTTCGTTCGGCTCTCCCATTTTGCTGAGGTGTTCCGAGTGCATGAGGTTTGATGGAGTATCCCATGTTGCTTGAAAATATCGTTGAAGACACATAAACTCGGTTCCATTGTCACTTCGTAATATTTTGACTTGTTTCTCGTATTGTCGTTCTATTAAGGCGATGAAATGCATCAAGGTTTGTGACACATCTTTCTTATTATTCAAGAGATATATCCACACGGCTCGAGAACAGTCATCAACCAAAGTGAGAAAGTAAGATGCACCACAAGACGAGGGAGTTCTATATGGACCCCATACATCACAATGTATTAAATCAAATATATTGGATGCTTGAAAATCACTTAAAGAAATGTGTTTCTGCATTGCTTTGATCTCTCACACACTTCACACACACGAGTTGTATCCGTATTTCTATTCACGCTGTTCGGATGCGGAATTTTTCTAACAATGCGGTAGGCGGGATGTCCCATTCGCTTGTGCCAAATCTCTAGTTGATTTTCCGCATTGGTCCGATACGCCTTTATGCCACTCACACCACGATACCAATAGAGTCCCTCTTTTCGTTCACCCGCACCAATCGGCATCCTCGAAGTGTGGTCTCGCATTGCACAAAATCTATCGAGTAAAATGTACTGTACATTTTACTTCATTCGATCAATTGTGATACTCGAAATCAAATTGCAATTTAATTTCGAACATATAGAACATGTTTAAGTTTCGAGTCCTCCATCAAGGAAAATCGATCCTTCTTTGTTTGCCAGCACCAATTCACCATTTGGTAGTCCCACTCGGGCACCCTTCCAAGGCTCGACTCTCCCTCAAGTTTTCTAGTGTTCCTGTCATATGATTAGAGGCGCCACTATCAATAATCCACAAGTCACATGCTTTCTTACCGGTCATCTTTTCGGTTTCATTTGCCTTGCGAGAATTCAACATTCGTTGTCAAGATCTGCCATTGCTCATTACTCGATCCTGCGACTTCGGTTTTTCGGTTGAACCAACGTTATCCGCACCGGTGTGCGCCATATTGACGCGAGTCGTTCCTCCTTTTCCTCGGAAGGTTCCTGTTCTTTGTTGATTTTTTTCATCGTTTTTATCGGTTCGTGGTCTCTCTCCCCACCATTCTGGGTAACCAATGATCTTGAAGCAATTGCATTTGTCATGTCCCTTCCTTCCACACTGCATGCAAACAACTGATTTTTCTTTCGCTTCATTGCGCAACTTGTTCCTGGTTTCTACTCGCATAGTCATTCCCACGATCATTCCTCGCTCTTCTTTAGACCTGGTGATTGTTCTCACCCTTTCTTCTTGCACCATGGTGCCATACACCCGATTCAACGAGGGTAATGGATCTCGTTGCCAAAACATTTGACCGTGTAGTTCCATAGCCCTCATCATCTAGCCCCATCAAGAATCGATGAATTTTTTCTTCTTCTCTTCGTTTCTCAAGTTGCGTCATAATATTACACTTGCATCCCCCACATCTACACTCGTGGGATTTGCTCGTAATTTGCCAGTTCATCCCACAACGTTTTCAACTTCCCATAATAGGAAACCATAGTCATTCCTTGTTGTTTGCATTACGCCAACTTTGACTTTAGCTGCTGGATTCTTGGTCCGTTCACGATCGAGAATCGTTCCTTGATGTCATCCCATAGGTCCTTTGCGTTTTCCATGTATGCAACAGATGGAACGCAAACTAGGTTCTATAGTGTTTAGTATCCAAGATACAAGCATCGATTGAATTGTCCACCAATCTTCTATCTCGGATGTGTCTTCTTCGGGTTCCTTATGAGTTCCATCTATGAAACCCCATTTCCTTCGAGCCCGCAGAGATATATTCACGGCCCTTGCCCATTCCTCGTAATTCTCTCCTCGTAATTGTACCTGTGTAATCACATTTCCAGGATTATCACCGGCACTCGGATCGTATGGCGATGGTGTTTTCTTCACCGTCTCTCCTCTCTCTGCCATTTTAGAAGTACGACTGTGTTCTCGGGCTGTTGGATATCAATGTTTGGTTCGCTCTGATACCATGATAAAAATATTTCCAAAAACCCCTGTTTTGTATTGAATATGATAGCACAATATATACATGAAATACAGAAACATTCTAGGCTATAATTACGCTAACCATTATAGTCGGTATCCTAAATTTGTCTATTAACAGATATGACATTAATGTGCATCACTGTCATGCCAAGCTAAATATGGAAAAAATTAATCATGTAGAATCATGGCATGATACGGTATTTGTAATCGTATATTCTATGTTTATCAGAGTGTGACATTCACCACCCCAGTTGAAATGTTCACACTGTTACCATATGCTGTCACGTTTAGCTGATACCCCGTGGGGCTGTCACTGGCCAATGTCAGCACAGGGTTGCTAAGAGCATCAAAGTTTGAGCTGGAGACATAAGTGGGGAGGACATGGAATTGTATCAATGCTTTTTGTTGCCTGTCTCCCAGGGAGTTGAAGTACCCTGCTTTCAGTTCTGAAAAGGCACCATCATCTGGTGCAAGGATGGTTAAGCCTCCATTCTTTGAGGTCACAAGCTGTGCATTCACTTGGTTGATGATTTGGGTGGTTTTCAGCAACCGGATTAGTGTGTTGAATGACTTGGCCTTCCTTAGGATCTTCACGATGTCTTGGCTGCCCGAAGAATCGGCACCTGAAGATGGTGACTGGGGTAATGCTGGGACTAATGGCTTTGCAGGCGCCAGAGCTGGTGTGGAAGGGGCAGGTTTTGCTGATGCTGGTTTTTCTGGGGCTTTAGGGGCGGCAGCTGGTGACTGAGCTAAAGTGGTGATTGAGAAAATGGGGACAAGTAGTAGGAGTGAGAAGAAGAGAGTTTGTTTCATCTTCATGTTGGCAATTGAGGGCTGTAAAATGCTTTGCTGCTAAGTTGCAAATTAACTGGAAATTGTTATTGCAAAGAATGTTTTGATGCGTGGAAGGTGGAATGAGGGAGGGTGCTTATATAGATGTCAAGTGAATGACAATTAGATACAATCAATACAAGGTGTGGTTGTGGTGTTAAAATAACTTATGGTTGTATTTTGTGAGGGCTTTTCTCCTTCTGCTAGGAATATTAAGGTGTAATATCAAGGCAGATTAAGTTGATTGAGAAGTCGATCTGGCTGCTGTATGGCTTGGCCTTTTCCTTGGAAATGCAGAGAAAATTGGATGAGAAGTGATATCTCAATTGGTTATGAGCTGATAAAAGATGCAGACTTGTGCAGAAAAATTAAGCATCCTGTATTATCATTCAGGTAAGCAGATGTTATATTATATCAAATCAATCACAATTAAGCAAGCTGTAGTAATTGTTAAAGCCTTTCTTTATATCATGGGTTTTATATTTTCTTCCATCATCATATATCATCAACATAAATGATTTCTGCGCTTCAAGGGAAGATAAAAGACGTGTTTATTAATTATACTTACAATTAAATACAAGGGAGAAAACGTTGTTATTGATTGAGGAAGATAGAGAGACTAGGGCTCGAAAGAGACGTTGTTTTCTATTTGTTATCCTAAATTGCTTTACTAATTTCTCATATCTTGTGATCTCTGTACAAACAAGTTGTGAGTTATCCTTAGAATTAAGAATCACAAGGATTAATTAGTTGCACTGTTTATCTGGTTGATACCTACCTCTGGAGACCCTGATAGCAAGACTATTTTGCAACCCATATGGTCAATTCCAAAGGGGATTCCTACGCTAGCCAAGTTAAGTGCAACACATAGATCTTTTAGGATGATGAGGATCCTCTGTTCTCGCTTTATCCTATCACATAGAAGTTCAGCTCTTCCAACCACAGTCTCCTCACCAAATTGCAAACCTAACATCTTACCAAGCTCTCCTTGAATCCTCTTGAGGTCTGGCTTTTTTGTGACACTTGCCATCACAGTTACATCAAACAAGTTATCTCTCTTTACTCTTCTTGATATTTTCTCAATCAAATTGTTCGTACGCAAAGTGCTTGATCCATACACCCCAACCATGTTAATGTTTGGATTTGCCAGAGCTTCCATGGTCTCTTCCAGAGCCATGTTTATCAGTCCGGAGACCTCGGAGCAATTGGAGATTATTACTTGCTTTTGATGTAAGAAACAATTAAGGGGTACAATCGACATGTTACTTCTGAGTTCCTCTTCTTGGGATTCCAAGCCGTGGTTGTCACCGAGATGACATGATTTTTTCTTAAATTTTTTAGCAGTTGCAAGAGCTGCCCCCATTGAATAATAATATCTACTTCCTTGATTTGGTGTGCTGTGAAGGACAAAATTTCCTAAAATGTCAAGAGGGAGGTTATATTGAAACAAAAAGTTGACTTTGTAGAAGGGCTTGAAGAATTGAAGTAAAAAACGAATCGCAGAAGCTGATATATCCCAATGGCCGAAAGGATATAAGAGTTATATACACAGTGCAGAGAGAGAGGCATATACACCATTTCACGTTTGCTATCTATGTCAAAACCGCGTGAGAAGACTTGCTAGGATGCACCAAATCTTATGTTGCTTTATTATCGTGGAAAATGCTTAATTTGCAAGTATGAATACGAGACACGCGCACCATGCAGAGCACGAAGTGTGTTAAGGGTACCTTGCACAATTTCTCGGTTTCTCCTCTATGTTCATTTTGATATTTAATATGTTTTGATCACCGTCAAACTTTACTTTTCGTAATAACACATTAGGTTGAGTAAGGATGTGAAGAAGAAGAAGAATTAAGAAGGGAGTGCCGTCGAAGATGAGATGCAAAAACCATTATAAAAAGAAGGCAATTGCTGCCCTTATTTCTATTCTGTATCTATATCTTTGGTGGTGAGTAATTTCCGTTCTATTTATATGATTTCAATATTCCATCTATGCTAACAATTCTTTAACATGCAGTCATCTGAAGACTCATAAAGATATTTCTTTTGGGTATTGATTTAGTTGGACAACACCTTTTGACTTTGAGACAAACAAAATTTTACAACCATTGTGATTATCTTCAAAAGGTATTTCTAGCCTATCCAAGTTGATTCCACCCAAATATCATCATCATCTAAGATGGTAAGAACCTTCTCCTCCATCTTTATCCTCTCACACAAAAAGGACAGCCCTTCCCACCACAGTTTTCTCTTGGAGTTGCAGAGCCAGCATGTTCCCAAGCTCCCTTGAATTCTTTCATAGTCGGGTTTTTTTCATCACGCTTGCCATCACAACCACATCAAACAGATTGTCCCTCTGAACTCTCCTGGTGATTTTCTCCACCACGTTTATCTTTCTCGCTGTACTTGATCCATGCACCAAGTATGATGATGATTGGTTGTGTCAAAGCCATCATATTTTAATTCAAAATTGAGGTCATGGATTCAGAAACCTTACAACCATTGACGGGAAAAGGCTTGACGAAGTTGTAACTCTTGAGGCTCTATCTTGCCTTTTGTGGCACTATGTATTAGCTGCGATGAGATATAGTTGTCGGGCAATAGGGTATTCCTCAAACATTTTGGCAATGCAAACAATAGCCCCCATTGTTCTTTATTATATTCCTGAGTTTTCTTGTGAAACTGGAAAGAAACATGGTATCAGAAACAAATACCCATTAGGAAAAAGGAGCAGTAAATGAAGTTTTACGATTGGTTATTTATATGTGGAAAACAAATATTATATTAACACTTATCATTTTCTCTTTTATACCTCTGTTCCTAAGAGTGAATACTAGTTTGACCTTTTCCAATGAGCTACATAAATGGTGGTGGAGAGATTATTATTTCATAGTTGATATCAATATGTACCATGCATTCACACAGGTCTGTTAACTTTTGTCTTTTAAATATTCTAAAATGATTTATTTATATAACTATTTCTTTAAAAATTAAAAAAACAAAGACACGACAGAAATTGCTTATATTTTAAGATGATTATGATGTTATGTTTCCACTGTACCAGAAAGGCATAACCAAACAAAAGTATATGACAGCCTTGTGATTGTCATTGCCTAGTTGCTTCGAGTTTTACAATGTATGTATATATAGGAAAATAAATAATATTTTCTAAACTAACTGAGAATGATAACTTAATATAAATGTAAGAAATTGTTCAAATTGAGAATAAACATTAACATATAAACGTAGTATTTTCAATAGTAATGATAATAATAATAATAATAACTTAAAATACAATTATGAGATTAAATCTAGGGATTAAATCTGACTAATATTTAAGAATGAAATTAACTTTATTTTTCAAAAATAATAAACTAACAAAATATGTAGTAGAAATGGAATTGACATGAAAGAGAAGGAAGCGGTGAAGGGGAAGGGCGAGGGGACCCCAGTTTCATCCTTTATACCAAAAAACATAAAACCAGCACATGCATATACTACACGTAATATACCAAAATAATTAAATAAATAACCGAAAGAAAGAAAAGAAAAAAATAACAACAAAAAATCCACACACAACACAGGCACACAATATTTTTGGATTCCTTTCCATTGCTCTCCGTTTCCCCTCCTCTCTTTCTGGAAAATTTTCTCCCAGTCTCTCTCGTTAGGGCAAAACCATGAACATCTTCAGGCTCGCCGGTGACATGACCCATCTTCTCAGCATTCTCGTCCTCCTCCTCAAAATCTATGCCACCAAATCTTGCTCAGGTCACTCTTCATACTTATCCTTATTCTGCCCCTTTTTTCTCTCAGTTCCCCCAAAATTGGGGCTAATTTTCATTCTATTTTTCTAGTCTGGATTCGCGAGTTCACTCTGTAGTCACATTCCTTCGCCAACCCAAAATTCAAGAACAATTGTTTATGATTTCCATTCTTTAGCCGATTTATTGGCATTGTTATTTTTTGGGGGGTTTCAGGGGTTTCTCGCAAGACTCAAGAACTGTACGCGATTGTGTTCGTGGCGCGTTATTTGGATCTGTTCACGGACTTCATCTCCGTGTACAACTCCATCATGAAGGTGGTGTTCATTGCCAGCTCCTTAGCTATTGTTTGGTGCATGCGTTTCCACCCCATGGTCCGGAGAAGTTACAACAGGGAACTCGACACTTTTCGCCATTATTTTCTTGTAGGGGGCAGCTTTGCTTTGGCACTCGTCTGGCACGAAAAGTTCACCGTACAAGATGTTAGTTTCCTTTCTACTTTTTAATTCACTCCTCTTTTTGCACTTCGTATTCACTTCTATCCTGTTAGCTAGATGTTAGTTTCAAAAAATTCATTCTTTTTTAATAGTATCTTCGTCTTTTAGAGTTTTGCATCGTTAATATGTTCTGTAAGTAGTGTGTACTGGCATAGATTGGTTTTTGTTGGTTATGCCTTAACCTGTCATCTTCTTCTGTATTTGAGTTCTGGGGTTTTCCTCTTTTTCATGCGTGATGTCTATTTCTGATTTTTAGTCGTTGTGCGTTTCCCCAAATGCTTACTTCTTTAAAATAAGATGTGTTGTATGTGCATCGGTTTATGTCTGCTTGACTAGATGATTGATTTGCCTGGTTCCAGTGACTAGGTTTAGATAAGCAGGAAACTGATGCTTTGAGTTCATGTAAGAAGATACAACCTTGTTATGTTTTGAGTACTGTAATTATGATGATCTGAAATTTTACACCGTTTTTATAGCTCAGAAATTTTATAACTGTGAGCTTTTATTGATAGAAATGATTCTTTACCCATGGAACCTCATTTTCTATGTTTTTTTATTTACCACTAAATAAGTTTATTTCCTATTTTGAGAAGGAAATGGTGAAAGCAAAATGAAGTTGTGTTTTTGTAAATATTAATGAGATCATATTAACTAAAATGGAAACAGAAAATAAACCGAATACCATCAAGTTATATTACAAATTTCCTGTACTTTTGAAAATTGAAATGATTGTTTTTCACTTGAAATTGTAAAATGTTATTTGAGCATTGGCAAAACTTTCGATTTGAATGTAATTGTGTACTATAAAAATGACTTACGAAGAGTAGTGGTTCATTGGCTATATTCTTTTTGAGTGAGGAATTATTACCATTATGGCTCAACTTGAGTACGGCAAGTGTCAGAATACAGCTACCATATTCCAGTGCTTACTGCTTACCATTAAATTGGAATAGTACTTGGAGTGGATCCTTTGAAACCATTCCTATACATGTCATATTTAGAATCTGCCAAATTCCTCTAAACTTTGAGATTCGGTTTAGGTTTTGATTTTATTCCTCTCCTTCATTTTATTAATTATCTACGAATACCTGAAGATTAGTTTCTTGAAAATTTTGTTTATTTGTGCTTACTAAAAGCTTCATTAGATTATATTCAGTTCAACTCAAGGTTTCAATATTTCATTGGAGAGTGTCTAATTTTATGTGATATGGATGGAATGTGATGGTATTGCCAAACTTTTCTGAACAGTAGAGTATAAGTTTATATTTTCTGACTGGAAGATCATCTTTATGTGTTTGAATGCTGTTCTTGCAAAATCAGAAACTATAGGAAAAAAGCTTTAAGATTGAAGTTCTCAATTGTTTCTTCTTGTGGACTCTCTCGTGAGATTGATTGGTGGTTATAGTTTTTTAATTTTAACTATGTACTGTATTTTATCACTGCTAGCCAAAGTCAATGAATACATAACTTTTGAGTATGATTCATATAGTCCATATGATGTGAGCCTGTTGCCTTTTAATCCTAGAAACTGATTCCTTTTTTCTGCTTTCTAATATCAATTTCAGTAGTATAATTTACCAATAGCAATACAGTACTTTGTCATAGATTATTGGAATGAAAACCTCCAATATCTTTTAGTAAGATACAAACCTTAAGTAAATTATATTATGACCTAATGATCCTGTAAGTTTGTCAACCATATTACTTGTTACATCATCTAAAAATCCAAATAGTTCAAAATCTATCATTTGGTTGGTTCTCTTCCTGATTGCCCAAATCCAGGTAGTAAATCATAGATGTCACAGCTGCAATTGAGGCGGTGTGGTGCTGTAGCAGGGAAGAGCGGTATTGGGTTGTAGTGCCTTTTCATATCATGCCTGCAGTGGGCAGTATGGGTCATTGTGAGTCGTAGGTGATTTGTATGTTGCAGATAGAGCTGTCAAAATCATGATATCAAACTCTAGGATTAACTATTAAGCTTATACAAGTTTACAAAGTATACTTCTTGACAACGAGTCAACTCGTGAGTAAACTCTTTTTTGGGTAAATTTCGAATAGACTTTGTAGACTCAGACCAGACTTGCAAGTTTGACTTTGAGTCCACGTGTCAAGGTAAGTCTTTCTTTGGCACAAAACAATATGTAGATGCATTTTTTGGGTGTCATGTTTAGGTTTGACACAAAACCAAAGAGAACGTTGTGCATGCATAAGGAAATATAAAAAATTATGTTAGGGACCCATGTGGTGTCATGCTTGAAATGATGACACAGTTTCCCATAATATTTAAGCGAACACTTGCAAGAAAAAAAAAAATTATATATATATATATATATATATATATATTGATAGTTCGAAAAATTCAACCTATGCATGTCTTCTTATGGCCCTTATACATGATTAACTGGGAAAGGCTAAAAGTGGTAAAATAGTAAGGTAGGCCTCGGCTTAGTGTGTCATAAAACCTCTGCAAATATCCATTTCCTTTTGGAGTCTGTGCCATGTGTCACTGGCTGTTCCCTTTATTTTTGCAGCTTAATATTGCAAGAGTTAAAGCAAATCCATCACATGGTTTTAAATGTCTTCATGTCCAAACATACAATAATTTCCCTTGTTTATTGCCAATTTGAAAATTATTTTTGTGCATTACATGTTAGCTTATAATAAATCCGTTACATATTGTGACATCATGAATAATTGTAAATTTGTTTACAGGTTTTCTGGGCATTTTCAATATACTTGGAAGCAGTCGCAATATTGCCCCAGTTGGTTTTGTTGCAAAGAAGTGGAAATGTGGACAATTTGACTGGGCAATATGTATTCTTTCTTGGGTATGGACACTTCTGTTGAGTTAGTTCTCTTTTTAAGATCCGCCTTTATATTTTGGTTCTTTACACCGTGTTCTCTTTTATGCTGTTTATTAGCAGATTGCCCTCTCTGATTTATTGAGATAACTTCTAGGGACAATGGTGTATTCATATTTGCCATCTTGAAATAGCTAAGAAATAAAACTCCTACAAAGTCATGTATTATAGATTATCTATATTTATATGTTTCTCCCAACTTTTTTATCGTTTCTGATTTGCAAATCCTGTTTATTGGTTTGAATTAGCACTTTTCTGCTTCTGCATTGACTACTTTGTCTCTTATCTTGATGTTTGCACAATTAATCGAGCAGTTATCAAGCTGTACAGATATTCCAATATGAACGTCTCTGAATGTACTGATTATTTTCAAACTGCAGTGCGTATCGAGCATTTTACATCCTGAACTGGATATACCGATATCTGACTGAGCCACGTTTTACTAGATGGATAGGTAAATAAGGCTGAAAATAAGAACTACCTGAAATTATATGTTTACATTAGTAATATTCTGACTACTTTCTTTTTTTACAGCTGGCATCTCGGGTGTTGTTCAGACAGCTTTATATGCAGATTTCTTCTATTATTACTTCATCAGGTAATGTTATGCACTTAAGGCCGATGTTATTCTTACTATGCTCGTATAACAAATAGGTAACAAAAGGAATTTTGTTTTACAGTTGGAAGAATAATTCGAAACTGAAGTTGCCTGCCTGAAGTATGTCAAGTTTATTTTGGAATTTGGACCCGTGAGGAGACCAGTCACTGCTGAATTTTACAGAGCGTGGTTTGGATGATGTTAATTTTGAGCGAAGATATAGGCCAACTCCTCTCGCTGTTCTTGAGTGGGGTAAGTGGGTTTGTTTTTCTTGTACAAGGGTAAATGAACGGGTTTAAACTTCTGATGAATATAATCATCGAGGCAATTCTAGAGTAGGTTAAATGCAAGTGTTACGTGACGATGTTTTGTATATTCACGTCTCCGTTGCACATTATTGTATAGTATGTTTTGTAACATAGCTGATTTTGGTTATGATACGAGTGTTCCATGGCCTATATGATTAGACTGTACAATTATACAATTTCTTTTCACGGAGGTGACTAAATGAAGATTCAGACGGACACCGTAACGTGATTGCTACTGCTATTATATCTATACTTGTAATGTACTTTGACAGTTGATGAGAAATTCTTGGGTAGGCTTTATTAATCACATATTATGCAACATAAAATTATGGTTGTGGGTGCTTTTCACATGCGACATACCACCCATTTTAATTCCATACTTTCTTAAGTTATTATTTCAACTAAAGTTACAAACACCATCCTCTAGACATTTTTATTTATACTTTTGTAAATAGCAGTTGGTAAACATCTTATACAATTTTAAATGTAGATAAAGACAGTGAATATTTGTAAAGAAATCCAAGTGAGAAAATGACAAGTCCCAGAATTTGACACTGAGGAACAGACTAATCCTTGACCGAGTTACGAAAGGCAGAAGGCCAATTGTTCTTGCGATTGTGATAGTAAACAAGCATCTTATCTCTTGGGGGCAAGGTGTCCTGAATCACAGGGTGGCTGAGAAAATTGGTCATCCATGAAGTGATGGCTGGAAATTTCGATGGATCTAATATCTGAATGGATCCAACTTCCTCCCAAACAGGAATCAAATGAGCAATCCATCCAAGCGCAATGTCAAGGTACCCAACGTTTTTCCCTCCAAAAAATTCCTTCCCCTTAATCTCATCTTCTATTTTCTCCATTATTTCTGTGGCTTCCTTCACAGCCCGTTCTTGTTCATCCCCGCTGGTGGCCATTGCTACCCATCCAGCCTTCCCAAGCTGTTATATATAAACATGTACAAAGCAAGCATTGAAAAATAAGTTGTTGGAAGTGTGTTTTTGTAAATCTCCGGTAAAATAATGGTACAAAATAAGCTTATTTTTAGTTAAATATCACATAGCAGATTGTAATATGGATTAAATCTTAACTTCACCAAATTTCGCAAGTGTGTCTTGGGTTATCAGTTTATTTTCGTCAATGTCAGGTACATGGGGTCTCATGGTTTTTCAAATGACCCATTTGACAGCAAAATGGAATGTATACATCCAGTGGATTGTGAGAGATAGAGAAAGGAAAATTATCCATGAAATGAATGATATGATGAAAATAAAATAGAAAGTTCAACATTATCTCACCCAGTATTGTTATCTCAAATTCTTCATACTTCCTTAACTATACAGAGATATTTAGAGTTTGACTATTTTGGTAATGAAAAATTGGAAATTGATGTCGATAGTTTACATAATATTTAGACAACAAATTATTGAAAAAGACATAAAAGAAGCAAAATGATCACTTTAATTTATAAAAATTCACAAAGGAAAGAAACGTCTCATTCTCAGCGTCTCTCTAAACAAATTTAAATTGTACAAAATGGATGCCGAATGATTTTGAAAGATCCATCTTGCCAACAGAATCTCACAGCAACAATCACAAAAAGAGAATAAGAAAAAAAACGGGGACAATTTGACGAAGATACCTTCTGTTCAACAGAAGTAGCCCAAAAGCGAGCAAGAGCTCTCTGATGAGGATGATGAGGTAACAGTGGATACTGCTTCCATGTTTCATCAATGTATTCAAGGATGATGAATGATTCAACAATCGGTTTGTGGTGATGAACCAGAACCGGAACCTTTTTGTGAACCGGGTTCAACCGGAGAAGGAGATTGCTCTTGTTGAAGATATCTTCTTCTATATATTCATACTCTATTCCCTTCAGTTTCAAAGCCCATTCAACCCTTTTACCAAATGGACTCACCCAAAAGCTCACCACCTTCACATCTTCGCTTCCCATCTTCTTCTTCTTCTTTCCTCCTTCTGTTCCTCGTGTTTCCTTCTTTATTCATATTATTATGGATGTGTTGGCTGCTTCTCCTTTTTATGTTTTCATTTTAATATTCTTGACCAAAGATCACATCTTAAATTTTGTATAATAATTTAAATCATTTTAAAAAATAGGTTCTTATTTTTTTTATTTAGTTGTGGTATATGGTAATGAAATCAGATTTTTTATTATTTACTTAAAAGAAGACTAACAATGACAAAGTTAGATAATTATAGAAGGTGAGAAAAAGATATTTTTGACACCTCTTTCTATAAATATACAAATGATAATTTTAAAATAATAATATTATGATTGATTATATAGAAAACGAAAAATAAAAATTTAAAAATAAATTATTGAATGATTATTTTTATTTTTTTACGATATCAAAAAATCATCTAATAATTAAATTATATTCCGATAATGTATTTACTTGCTTGTTGTAAATAAATTTTACAAATTTTAATAATTATCTTTCCAATCTAATTATGAGAATCATCTTTACAATGTTTTTTTTTTAAGATTTTCATAAAAATCAACAAATATAATAAATTTTCTTGGTTCCATTATATAAAAAAGTATGTGTATAATTAAAAAAATAATATTTTCTTAAACGTTCAAAATGATATATAAATAAAACTAAAAATATTTTGAAAATCTAGAAAAAAACAATGAAAGGAACATGTTTTAGACAATCCTTGAAGGCATAGCACAACTTAAAGTCAAATGCATGTTAGTTATATGTTGATATCATGTTACATGAGTTTTAAAGAATATAAAGCAATGATATTATTATAAACCATTGGTGTGGCAAGTTGACTAAGTTGTACCCCATTTCCTGCATGTTTAATCATGAGCGGCTATGTTTCAGTCACAATCGTTTTTCGGCTCTGTCTCCTTTCTCATGTTTTCCCACCAATGCACAACCTTCGTCCCATCCTCTGCTTCACAATCTAACTATTACTAATTTACAATCAACAATTTTGCAATTATTGAGAAATCCGGAAGAAAAGGTTTGTTTCTTCTTCATTTGCCGCATTCGGACACAGACAATGTAACACCTTTTGTTGTTTTTTGCTGATTTCTATAAATATAAAGTATAAACAGTGTTCATCAAGGTGTCAAGGGTACACAGAAATCACAAATACTTCCAAAAATTTTCACCAGATTTTTTTCTTTTTTCTATTCTGCTCAGTTTCTTTCATCTTCGATGGACATTGGGTAATGAACCCTAGATGGCAAACATTTTCGCGCTTTGGGCGGAGCAAGACATTGACATAACATTAAATACGTGAAAATTAAGGGAGATTTAAATTAAAAAGATAAATAAAAATATATTTTAAATAATGTAAACTTATTTTATTTTAAAGAAAAAAATAGAATAAAAACGGTTTTCTCTTTTATTTTCCTTTTACTATTTCTCTTGAACCTATTTTTTCACTATCATATGCAAAAATTTCGTTGAGACAACAAAAATGAAAATAATACTAACAAGATTAGTCTCTAATTCAACAAAAGTGGTGAAATAATTAAATAAAAAAATCAAACAATGATATTTTAAGGGGTTTACGTGAAATTTATTTAAATTATAAAAATTATGATAATTTTAAATTCATTTTAAAAAATTTAAAATAGAAGAGATAACATCATATCATATAAGAGATGACATAATTTTTAATCAAAACCTTAAAGTATTAAAATAGGGATGTTTTTTTTCTTGTTTAATTTTTTTATTTCTATTTAATATAAAATTTAGATTCAGATTTGTTAATATTTATGTAAAAATAATTATTAAAAACTTTTAAATTAATTGTGTTATCTTTTACTTGAATAAGTTTTAACATTTAATTTACAACCAAGATTCTTGGAAAAGAAAAAAAATAATCATTGAATATCTTAGTGTGAAAAGAATCGGAACTTCTTAGTTCATACATGTCAATATTTGCTGCTGAGTCGCTCATTTGGACTTGGCAGTGTCCTTGAACCTGAAAAATTAAATTACGGGTACTGTCACAAAACTTAAAAATATAACTTGAAATTATAAAATAATACTTGGATCCATTTATTCAAATTTTAAGTATTATTGCATTAAACAAAATTATACACAATTATCTTACTTATTCAACTAGAAATACCTTTTACAAAAGTTGATGAGATCTGAATATAACTCAATAACTTTTTGCATTAGTTGTTTATTTTTTACTTTTACTGAATGGATTGAATAAAAAAAATACATGCAGAGCATTCTGTTTCTGCTGCATTGCTGCTTATCTAATATTCCTTCCCTTCATGCCTGGTGAGTTTTGATTACCATTGAAATAGCTTTTTGAAAACCAGAATAATGTTTCTGACTGTAGTGTCCCCCACAAATAAAAGCTATATGCGTACGTATTTAATATTTTTAGCATAAAGCATGGATCATGGTTAACTTTATTCAGGTTAGCTACATAGCTTCACAAATATTTGTAGCCGTTTATATACCTACAGCTACAGTGAACCAGTTCCAATAATTAGTCGAATCTTTTCTTATGGTGCCCTATGCAAAAAATGAAGATTAAAAAGGGGTTCAAAATCTCTTTTACTCTTGATGCTTATGTACATGAACAATTACTGTAGAGTGCTTAACCATGGTTTGCTTTCCAAACTAAGATATTTAACATGTTTCTTAATGTTCTCCATCGGTCAAGCATCACAGATTCACAGTTCTTGCAACGGTTTTCAGGGTTTAAACAACGACAACTTTACCATATGCATAACTATTAAACTCATAATGCATATTATGTATTCTGATGCAAAACTAATTACTTTGAGGGGAAGCTGAATTGTAGAGTTGGTAGGGTCGACAAATAGATGATACCCATCAATCACGTAAGGCAATAGGACCCACACTATCATCTCTTTGGGTAGCTCTACAGGTATTATTGGAAAAACAAGTAGCCAAAGGAGATAGAAAAAGAAAAAAAAAAAAGTAAATAACCAATGGTTTGGCTTGTATCTGAAACTTCTTCTGCTACAAGCCTACTTCAGTATTTAACATCTTTCATCACAAAGCTAAACCATGCCTCCTTTTTCTTTTCCCGCGCTTTAAAACTACTCTTATTTCCTTAATTTTCTCCATTATATTAATATCACCCCCTACTAATTTCTATCCTCGGCCCAAACACTGATTTGATAGCATAGTCAAAGATTTGCGCCTGCTTTTCCAACCAAAATATCCTTTTTCTGCTAACATTTTCTCTCGCACAAGTCCAAACTCTTTCTCTTCGTTGGATTTCATCGATTTTGCTCTGACACTCGCAACACAACACAACGCACATTCCCACCAAACTTATATGCTTCGAACAACAAAACCTCTGTCTCGAGATGGAAACCGTTAAACCCAAATCAGCACTCAACAATAGGAGTAAGAAACTGGCCAAGACGTTCCAGAAGGTGATCAGCCTCCGAAGTGCAACCAAACTCGCTTCAAACAATGGCATTTGCATGCTCAACTCCCACCTCAAAGTCAAGGAGGATCTCTTCTCCGAGCATCAGACCAAACCCCACCAAGGAAATAGCAAAAATAGAGCAGTTATGGAGGCTCTCATTGCAAGACTCTTCGCTGGGGTCACCACCATCAAAGCAGCATATGCAGAACTCCAAATGGCTCAGCACCCTTACAACAACCAGTCCATTCAAGCCGCGGATCAGGCCGTGGTGGATGAACTCAGAGCCATATCAGAGTTGAAGCGCAGGTTCTTGAAAAAAGAGCTTGATCTTTCACCCCAAGTAACCATAATGCTCGCGGAGATTCAAGAACAGCAGAGCCTGATGAAAACCTACGAAATCACCATCAAGAGGCTCGAAGCAGAGGTCGATTTCAAGGACTCCAACATTTTATCGCTCAAAAAACACCTCGATGACTGTGCTTCCTTCAACAAATCACTTGAAAAGAAACTCAACTCGAGTGGCTCATTGTCACTGTTCGATAACCTCACGCATCCAGCGTTGAGTCCAACTCACTTCGTCCATTTTCTTCACCACGCTTTGCGATCAGTTAGAAGCTTCTCCAAATTGATGATGGGGGAGATGGAGTCTGCTCATTGGGATCTAGAAGCAGCCGTCAAGTTCATCCACCCAAATGCAGCTTTCGCCAAACCAACTCACCAAAGCTTCGCATTTGAATCCTTTGTGTGCATAACAATGTTTGAAGGCTTCAACAATCCAAACTTCAGCGTGCAAGAAGACCCACCTCAGAAACACTGGCACCAACAAGCACAAAACTTTTACTTTGACAAATTCAAAAAGCTCAAGTCTCTGAACCCGAAACAGTACTTAACCCACAATCCAAACTCCTCCTTCTCCAAGTTCCTGAAATCCAAGTACCTTCAAGTGGTGCACGCCAAAATGGAGTGTTCCTTGTTTGGCAACTTGAACCAGAGGAAGATGGTGAACTCTGGAGGGTACCCAGATTCTGCTTTCTTCATCGCCTTTGCAGAGATGGCAAAGCGCGTTTGGACCCTGCATTATTTGGCGCTATCCTTTCAAGACGATGTTACTGTTTTTCAGGTCAAGAAGAACACGAGGTTCTCTGAGGTGTACATGGAAAGTATCACAGAAGAACCTGTTTCAGCTTCGGGAGAATCCTCTGATTCCAATTCGAGCGATCTTAGGGTGGGTTTCACGGTGGTTCCGGGTTTCAAAATCGGTAAGACAGTGATTCAGAGTCAAGTTTACCTCTCTCTGGTGGGTTCTCCGGCAAGTTCCTAATACAGCAATATTAGTGTTAATTACGGTATATTAGTATCCCATGTGATGGAATGTTATGAGTATAATACTCATAATGAGTTGTCAAGTATATACTAAGTGTTAATTTACAATAAATGTTTAGAAATTTATTTAATATATAATCAGGAGTATTGCATGAATACTTGACAACTCATTTTCTGTATTATTACTTGACGAAGAAAAAAAGATGCATACGAAGAGGCATTTTTGAAGTTATTATTGTATATTTGGTCTCAGTTTAGGGATGCCTCAGGTGCTCTGTCAGACACTCCCCATGGAATTCATAGTACTACACATTTACAGTACTATACATTTGGTATATACATCTTCTCAATTTCTGTTTTTATTTTTCTTCTCTTATCATCAATGTCAGACTGTAAATAATCATCTTGTAAAATGGTACTGTAGTGTAATAAAAGAAGGATACGTCTCTCTCAGTTGATTATTACTTGGTTTAATTCGCCAAGTGTAGGAGTAATGATTCAAAGCATAATCATTAGGTTGTGTTTGACTGGAGTGTATGTTAAGTTTTACTTTAATAAGCATAGCCTTCATTACTTAACCAAGTGTTGCCGTAGTGCTCAATTATAAACCGTTGTATACAGTGAAGACTAAACTTTGTGATTATATTTTACGGAAAAGATTTTGACGATAAGGTTCCGCCGGTGTTGAGATATCATTCTGTTATACAACCATAATGTGTATGTCGTATTTTTCAACTATCTTGTCATGTTTTTATGTTTATATAATTGAAGTGTAAAATGAGTACACATTATGATGTTCATAAGAGAATGATACTATTAGCCATTAAGGGGGTGTTTGTTTTACTTTAATCTCACTTTTTTTCATTCATATTTTAACTGAATGTTAAATGGTTGGAGTTCAACGCTGTATGGGTGGGTGAGATTCATAATCTGAAAATTATAATTCTGGCAAAAATTACAATAAGCATTTTTGTACATAAACTGGTCTGGTATTTTCAAACAAGAAACCTAACAAGCACTTAAAATTGGTGATTAGTGACTAGGAGAGAATAGTGATAATGATTGAATTTGAATTGAAAATGTTAGATTTGATAGAAGATATATGAGTCTAACTAAGGCTGGGTTGTGTGCATGATTGATGGTGGGCCAGGGGTGCAATGGGAGGGAGGAGCGAATCAAGTGCTTCACTATCGATGGCAATAGGGAGGCGCGTGGGAGAAGTGTGGGTGGAGGGGAGCCAGAAAGGCATGACAGGGCCATAGGCATTTGGGACCCACATGTGAATTGGGCAGCAGGGTGGTGGTGGCGGCGGCGGCGTCAATATGATCTTGATTTGATCCAGCGAGAAGGAGAGAGAGAGTGTGGTGGGGTGTGGTAGAAGGTAATCAGATTCAAGGGCCCACAAGAGAAAAACTGAGTGTCACATTTGTTTCTTCTTGCAAATACTTTCATTTTTGGCTGTTGGAACAGTAACTTTTGATATTTGAATTTGATAGCAGAAAATTAGGGAATACACTGCTTCATTTGCTCGTTAACCAAACCCATTATTCGACGTGGTTAACCTTTAAATAAAGCCTAGTTAGCCTTCTGTTCAAAGAATTAAAAGACAAAAAACTTTGATTATTCATGGCAGTAGATATTGGATATAATATAAGGGATGGACTTTGCATTTTCTAGACAAAGAACAGTTGCAGAAAATATGGATTTGATACGGGACACAAATATGGTACGACAGAGACTTGGACATATGATAAATTTAAAAAATTATAAGACACGACAAGGCAACAAAATAATGCGCAACATTAATATAAAAAAATATTGAAATTGTTCATGCAATGTCTGACAGATATATGCAGCATGATTAGGGAAACACAGGTACCATTTATATAAGTCACGAGATGGCTTGGCAAACATGTGATAAGAAGATTTGATGTTACTCCCACTACCACCCAATAATGTCTGTCGTTTGCATACTGCACTTGCAAATGAACTATGCATCTAGTAACCAAATTTGTGATTGGTAACAGAGAAAAAGCTTGGTTTTTTGGTATAATACTGTTATATATTGATGGGAAAAACTTGAAATTAATTTTAAAGTAAAAGTTGAGCATAAGATCGGGTAAGTAGGAATGTTTGGGAATTTAGATATTTAAGTTTATTCGTAGCTTGATGTGCACTCCTAATGCCAAACCCTTTGCTGGCAAATCCAGCTACCAAATACTAAAGAGCTCATCAATACATATCTTTAACAAAAAGTTCAAATGTTTGACATCATCATGTCCAAAGGAAACCTCTTTCACAACAAATTTCATGAAGAACACACAATCCTGTTTTTTCAGTTTCTTGCCGCCATCACACGCCATTGGTTTATAGCCTTATAAAAACGTGCATACAAAGTGTGAGTTTGTTACACACAACGTGAACTTGTTTCCTCAATAAAATAAGTTTTGTATTTTTTGCATTTCATATAAATCATTGATTAGGAACATGTTTTTGTTGTTTTAATCTTTTTATATAAAAAAATGACATAATAAAAAACTGTTTCCATGTTGCATCATGAATCAATATAAAACATAAATATGTCTCAGTTTTGTATTACTATATATCGGACCATCTAATACGAAACAAAAAATATTTTTGTTTTGTGTTATGAGTAACAGAAGAAAAAAAATTTATGGAAGAAACCAATCATCAACATGAAGAGACCATATTTGATAGCTGTTTTTTTTATTTTTCATTGTGTCCGTTTTTATAAACGAATACAATATAATTATATTAGCCTAGTTTGATTTTGTAGACTTAATATTTCATGATATATTAATTTTAGTACTAAATATAAAAGATACAAAATATTTTTTCTTTTATTTTTAATGTGTATTTAGGTATTCTTCAATCATTGAATTGGTTTAAAAAGAAATAAAGATATAGCTAAATGGAAGATTAAAGAAACATAAATAATAGGAAAAAAAATATTGATATTAACAATTTCCAAACTCCAAATAGATCACTAAAAATAACCTTAAACGTTACTAGGATTCAAAAGATAGAAAATTTTAGATTCAAAATGAATATCTACTTATTTAATACTAACAATTTTAATAATTAATATAATAAAATAAAAAATAAAAAACCATCAAACAAGTACAAAAGATCTTAAAACTCAAGGTGAAAGCACATTAGAATGTTGTAAAACGAAACCTAAATAATCCAAAATCACCTCACTTTCACTCCAAATAACAGCTATATAATAGAATATCTTGCTAAAAAAATTAAATTTTTTTTAACTCTAACTAAAAAAATATGAAACCTTTTAGTAAATAAATAAAAAAAATCAGTTTCTTAAAATACATTGCAGATAGTCCTTTTAATACTCAATAAAAGGTTTTAAAATAAGAATAAATGTTTTGGCCCATGCAGGTCTCGAACCTGCGACCTTGGCGTTATTAGCACCACGCTCTAACCAACTGAGCTAATAGGCCATACATTAAATTTTTACAATTTATTTTATTTGATTGATGAATTTTGTGCATGGTAAACAAATTATAGAAAATGGATTATTAATTGTATATACTATCCATCATTGTTCTTCATTTTGTTTGTATATGAAAAATGTGAGGATTTTGCCTATTTAATTGTATATGCTTCTTTTGTTAATGTCTATTATTCTAATGTTTATAAATGAGTATTTACTTTGGAAGAGGCAATATATACATTCTAGTAGTTTTTGGTGTCATTGTTATATATACTGTTTTGCTTATCAAGAAGATTGTATAAAGAAAAATAAGAAATTTATATGATGCTTCCTCTCTTTCTTATCTTTTCACCTATTGTTTATAGTTTTTGTGTTGGATGAACAAATTTATGCTGAATTTACTCCTATTTTTACTTTGATAATAAAGAATCCAAACATAAATCACATCACTTGGAAATTAATTTTGTCAACAATCATTACACTTGTTTTTAATTATGTATATATACTTGTACATACAACTAAAGTCGAATCTACTTTTGACAAATAGGAGATCCTTTATCAATAATATTTTAAATCCTTTCAAAGTTGATTTTACAAACTAAAAGTCATAATTTATTCACTAATAAATATGTCCAAATATCTTGTACACAAATTCAATCTTTTAAAGATTTGATAAAACACATCATATAACCGTGCTCATATTCAAAATGTACATCTTTAGAAGCTAAAAGGATGACAATTTATTAAATCATATTTTTATAAAATAAATATAAATAAGAACTTCTTAATTTCAAAAGGAAATGTGCTCAACATTGGTTGATTACGAGAGTATTATTGCTGGTAAAGGTTTCAAAATGATTTGGAATAACCTTTTGAAAATATAGAGTTAAATGATTTTTCGAGAATGGTAATTAATTTTCTCTCTCTCTATATATTTGTTATGTGGAATGAGCGAGTTTTGATATTATTTTTAAGAATATTTAAAAAATATATCTAATTCAAATGAAAAAAATATTTTGAAGATAAATACTAAAAAATTTAAAAAATATTAACATAAAAATATACTACATTGGAATACCTCATGCGTCTATAGCATCGTACCTCCTCTTTAAAGACCCAATTCTGAGTGGGCCTTTTCAACTTTTGGAGACCCAACTTGAAACCTCTGACATCAAATTAAAAATGAGAAATGAGAAGAGTATCCATGTCTTGTAAATGAGACAGGAGAATATATAATAGAATTGAAGTTTGGAAATAATTAGGATGAAAGAAATTTGAGTGGAGATAACTATGATTATAGCCATGAAAAACAAGTACGTGTAAGACACGCCGAAAACTAGTTAATCATCGGCATCGGTCTGCAACTGTTTGTCGAGTTTCTCATGCGCTCGCGTTTCTAATCAATCAATCATTCACTTTCTTACTTTCTTATTGTTTAACGTTTCCGGCGTCAACCTTCTCTCCTCATCTAACTTTTTTTATATTTTACTGTTATTAATGCACTTCATAAATGCAAAACACAGGTTAGTGACGGTGATCCCCTTCCAAGAAAAACAGGTGGGTGAATCTTGGTTCTTTGGACGCGTTTTTAGTCTTTTCTGATGCTATTTTTTTCTTCACAGTATATGCAACCCTAATGGCAGACCATTAGTTGTATACATGGACCATATGCAACACCATTTTTCTCTTCCTACTTTGTACTTTCAAATTGAAGATCCCACCTACCATGCTTTCTCAAATTCACTACCTCACCCTTTACTCACAACACTTGTATCATGGAAAGAATTCAGAATGTTACAGCTGGTATAACCATTTTTTCAAACTATACTTGCATGGGATTCAATTCATTGACCCACTGTTTTAAAAGATGGGATCATTCACTATGATAAAACTATGACATTAATTTCAATCGTGTTACCACTCCATATCTTAGTTAGAAGCATTTAAAAAATTAACTGTTTCAATAATTGATAAATATAAAATGACATTAAAGCCATATTTATATTACTTTATATTTTTATTTATGCATATTTTTAAGTTGTTAAATTAGTTTGACTTGTAAACTCTTCTGATAGTTTCTTTAGATAAACTAAATAATATAATATTAAAAATAAACAGTTTTGAGTTATATCAAACACTTAGATTTAACCAAATACATAATAAGCTAATCAAATAAGTTATCAGTTAGTCGAAATAATTATACAAATCAAAGTTTTCATATTTAGAAGCTAATACATATTATATTTTTATTAAATAATTAAAAACAAAAACCTAATAAATTTTATCTAAACTTTGGCTTATGTGGAATTGAGATAAAAGTATTAATAGCACACCTACCAGTGAATAAGTAATGATTAATAATTCATCTGATAATAATTAGGAATTTTCATATAATATATCTTGTCCACGCTCGTTAGTTCTTCCATGAGTATGATTGGAATTGGATGATAAATGTAAGCATCTTCTTTTTATATAAAAATTAGTTTTAATCATTAAAAAATAATTGAGAAATAATTTGCAATACCCATTTTAAAGAAATTATATAAAGATGTAGATGACTTGGGAGAATCATGTTAAATTCTTAAAAGTTGTACAATTGAAAAAAAATGTTGAAGTTGTAATTTGATCTAGCATGTACGGTAATATTAATTTAATTAAAAGGGGTAAAAATCTTTCATAGTTATAATTATTGGAGATGTTGGTTCTATATATTTTCGAACATTTATTATAAATATATATATTCGAAAGAATAAAAATTTAACTTTTCATTATTGGTACGTACTAACCCTAGTAAAGGTATCACACCCTTCCGATTACCGACAAAAATGAAGTCAATAATAATATTTGGGTGTAATAAACTGGGATTTTAGACATTTTAATTCAGAAGGCAGTGAGTGAATATATTTATTTTTTCAAACGTGGATAGAGGGAAATTTAATTGTTAGTTCTTATAATATTAATTAAAAATAATATTAGGTGATTGATTATATATAGCTTTATTTTTCCATTATCTACGTATAATTATATAAATGAAATTGTTTGGTCACCATGACTCTAGTGCAGAATATGATTGAATATGTTTCATGATATTTTTTCTCAGTCGAAATTTTTAGTGTACACAGTATTCATGAATATATATTTGACGATGTTGGTAATTCAAATTTATTTTACAAACTATCCTAAAAATATTCTTTACTAAATTCAATTGTTTTGTGAGAAAAAAAGAAAATATATGTCATGATGAATATGAAACAGCTTTTTAGTGTTGTGTGGAGATGAAAGTGACACATATCAACCAAAAAAACACTTAAAATTAATCAGCAGATTTATTTATTTTTTCATTACAATCATGCGTCACTTCTTAATTAAAGAGATTGAAAAAGAAGGTGGAAAGTATATGTAAGAAATTTCGATCTCTAACCATCGAAGGATTCCATCACCAAGTCACAACAAATACGTACTAACACACACACATAGTTAGATTCCTTAAGACACATTGGCTAAGACTTAACTTTCACTTGTGTGTATGAAAAAACTCTTTTACAAAAGACAAATCACACTTTAAGAAAAGCTATGCCTTAATAATAATAATTAAACATCGATTATATTGTCACACAGAGATACCCTTGAATCTTTATTTGGAGGAAAAAAAAAAGTGGAAGCTCACAAACAATTGTCTGTAGTTTTTATTTTCATTTACTATAATTTCTTAGTATGACAACAACGTAGTTATGTTAAAATCAATAATTCCCAGTTCCAAATGACACAAAATATAAATTGTCAATTGAGAAAACGTTGATGCAAAGGTTACTAGTAGGCAGAATGAAGAAGTTGACGTAGAGTTAAGATTTATTGATTTATGTTTGTCATTGAGTGTAATCGTAAAGGGAAAGCAAATAGTCCCAAAACAGAGGAAATCGTAAGGTACATATTCCTTACACTTTTACACAATTAAACTATTTTTCTTCACTTTATTTATTTATTTATTTATATCACAAAATCACAATCCTCTCCTCTACCACCATGCAAAGAATCTGACCATATAACAAAACTGAGCCAACAAAAAAAATGTTGTGTCCTGGCATCAATAAAAATGAAATAAGAAAGAAACAGAGTTAATTAATTAATTAATTAACTATTAGTGGCCAACACCAGGACTAGGGACAGATCTTAGAAGAACACGATCGATGGTTATGAGGTGTCGTGCTATGAGCTTCTCATCAACCTCCACGGCGTGACCTTTCTTGCTTGGAGAAGATGGTGGCACAGTGCCCTTAGGAAGTGCACTCAGATACAAAGTACTGTCTCTTCTTGAAGATGGATTCACCTTGTTGTGGTGGTTTTGTAGAACAAGTTTTCTGGCTTCTAAACATGAGGACAGTGAAGCCAAGAGAAGCATCAAGAGGAGTAGCATCGTGGTGGGTCGTGCCATGGTTTAATTAAGTGGAGAAAGCAATTGCGAAAGAGTAAGGGGTTGTAATATATATAATATGGACAAGTGGGTGAGGAGAGAGAGAGAGAGAGAGAGAGAGCTTGGAGATGAAGCTAGGTTTAAGGGATGGGCAAAGTCAAGAGAAAGTGGCGTGGGGTTTGAAAATCCAAAATGCGATTCAGACAGGTAGTGGAATGGGATTGAATTGAAATTTGACGTGGGTGAGTGTATAGTTTAATTATAATAGGGATATTGTTCATAATTCACAATACTATTAAATGCTACAAGCCCACACGCGCCATAAAACTTAAAGCATTTTTCTTAGTGCGTGTCTTAAAAAACTTTCTTAAGTGACATATTAGATAGTATATACTTTATTACTTACTTTTAATTATTTAAAAATGTTCTGTCTTGACATTGAATGTTATTTTACGATTCATTATAAAGTTGAAGGTTGGGGAGAGTATGGCTATCACAAACAAATTTAGTTTAAAATAGAAGTTATCTACGAAAATAAAATTTTCATTGATTAAATTAGAAAAAAGTTATAAATATAAAATAATTATTCAACTTTTATTATTTTTAAATTATAATTTCTTTAATTTTTGTGTTATTTCTCTTTAATTTTTTTTAATTTAAACATGTCTTAGTATTCTTGTTACAATAGAATTAGTGATATGATTAAAAAATAATTTTGTTTGATATGAAAAAGATTGAATATAAAAGGAAATCACGTTTGAATAACAATAGTTGTAGTTAGAAATTTAGATGTTAATTAAAATCTTATATTAAATAAAAATTAAAAAATTAAGTAATTTATAAGTAATAAATTTAAGATTTTGTATTAAAAATGTTCTCTTTTATCATATTTTATTATTGAAAATTTTTCTATTATTAACTATTCTTAAAAAAATATCAAATAATTTTATATCCAATAATTTTTAATAGATTAAGTTTTTTTTAATTAATTTTTAAAATATTTAAAAATGAGAAGATTAATAAAGAGATACATGCATTTAAGTTTTATCAGATAAAAATAAATTTTGACTGTGAGTTTTATGTGAATAAAATCTGATTTCATGAGTTTAAGAATTTTTAGAAATTTTTTAAATAAAAAATGATATATCTGTAATATTAAGATAAAATATTTATATTTGAATAAGTATTATATATTTGAATAAAAAATTAGTTAATAAAATATTATAGGATAGTAATTTAGATATCTTTTTACATATCTAAAATCTATGTATTTTATTTAAAAGAATATAAGTATTATTTTTTTTTTTGGTGATTTTGTTTATTTTAGATTCTATTTGATGGTGATTTTATGTTTTTTAGGTCGATTCATAAACGAATATAAGAGAAAAAGAATATATATATATATATATATATATATATATATAATATTAAATTATTCAATGTTAAAGTAGTAATATTCAAATGTTACACTTTCTGAAATAGTGATTCATATTTTTTTTCAAACTTTTCAAAAATAGGGATTTGTTGTACGAATTGGACGATATAAGTTAGGTGAGGGGAGCCGGCAGGTTGTCTCTTGTTCTTTTTGTTGACAGTTGTTGTCAGAATAAAAAGTTAGACAACATCTCTTCAACTCCGTTACATCATTTTTACTTCCCGCCGATTTGATTCTCCACAAAATAATCATAAATCGGCTCAACTCATTTGCTGGAAATATTTTTAGTTCGTTATAATTGTTAAAAATTAATTACAAAACACTCTGTCAAGTTTCTGTGTAATAGTATAAAATTTGATTAAATTGTATAAAAAAATTTGTTAATTAACATATGTTTCTATCAATATTATCATTGGTCCCAGAGAGAACATCATACGTCCATTCATTTAAGAAAGCCACAGTTATATTCTTTTAAGAAAAAAATATTTTGAATGCACCTCATCGTTGTTTATAACTTTTACTGTCTGTTCTTCGTAAGTACATCGATTAAACAAGAATGACCTTGAAACATATTTTTGGATATAAGTCACCCACGTGCCTTTTTCTCTAACACTTTTCTTAAAACTTTTTAAATTTACGAACAAATTGGCTGAGCAAATCTTGATTAGAAGCCTAGACATGGAACACAAAGCCAGGAAAATTATAATTTTCACACTACAAGAAAAATTGAAATTTCCGACAGATGAAATCCGTCGGTAAGTAATAAAATCCGTCAGTAAATAGATATTACTGACGGATTATCGACGGACCTAAATCCGTCGGTAATAGTATTGTTGGTAAATTTTACCGACGGATTTGCTATTCCGTCGGTAAGTGTCATGGGTATTTACTGACGGAATATCCGTCGGTAAATACCCATGACACTTACCGACAGAATAGAAAATATGTCGATAAGTGTCATAGATACGACGAATATTCCGTCGGTAATTACTAATTATGCGCAAAACTTACCGACGGATAATCCGTCGGTAAATCCGTCGATAAAACCAGCTCTAGTTCCAGAGCAGTTTATTTTTTTCTCATCCCATATAACCTGTCAAATAATATTCAATCCAGCAGTCCAATTCAACAATATTCAATCCAGTTCAATTCAATAATATATTAAACAATTCAATTAAATATAAATCTAACTCACGTTAATCATAAGTAAATTCAAATGTGCTGTAATTTATGCATAATGAAACATAATGTACAATCCTAAAAAGAGGATCAACATACAAATAGAATTGAAATATTATTCTATAGATGTTTGTATAACATTTAATAATGAGAGTAATCAGGAGAATGATGTTCTGGTATGTTGTCCTGTGGTGGGTTATCTTGTTGCTCTTCATTCAGTTGTTGTTGGGGTTGTTGTTCATCATGTGTTTCACTATGTTGACGCTGTTGAACAACAGATTGTGCGATGGGGGTAGAAGATGACCGACAAGGGATTGAAACTCTCCGAATTGGTGCTCTAGTCGTTCATTTTGCTCCCTTGTTCGACGTATTTCTTCTTCTTGTACGGATAATCGTTGTCTCAACTGATTAATCTCTTCTAAGTCAATCGAGGAGCTCGGATGCTTGGAATTTGATTCTTCAAGCTATCTCGAACCACCCCGATAGTCATCGACAAGTTGTCCAGCCCCATACAATCTTCCTTTATTCTTACCTCCAACTGTATCCACCCAACAACGGGACCTTATAACTTCATCATGTGCGAGAATCGGCAGGAGTAGACTCGGGTTCGCCACCACAAGATCCAGCGAGATGACCTAGCTTGTGAAAGTCTACTTTCAAATTCCTCCTATTAGTAGAAACAAATCAATTATTAACATGATTATTAACTTTACATAATATACAAAATTTAACATGAAGGTTCTCACGTGTGTCTTCCTAGATCTTTCATCAACAAAATGACCCGTCTTCCTCCTAATATGAGTCTCGTTGGAAGATCTCATCAATAAAAACTGATCTTCCAAGCTCCTTTGCCTACATTACATAAACAATTTGAGATATAAAACCCAATAAATATTGAATAAATCGTAAATGTATGATATAAAGACTTACCATACGTATGGCATGCTCATGTGTGCTTGATAGAGCCACCTGTGTGAAGGCTCCCACCCTTTTCCGATGCCCTATTTTTTGGGCTTGTGCAGATTTGGACCGATACATTGGTGAGTTCCAATGTGCTAGCAAACTGGTCCAAATGTGATCTCCAATCCAGATCCGGTCTTTGACCGACAATTCTTGCATCCCTAAACATCTCACTAAGTCTCGTGAGATGCTTTGGAATGAAAATTCTTCTTTATTTGATGTTCATGCTCTGGTCTCCACTGAACCTTCATCTATAAAAGCATAAATTGTTATACACATTATAGAAAATTGACTACAAAACATATATTCAATACTTATAAATATATACACTAATGGAAATCAATAGTAACATTAATAATTAAGTATGTACACAAGATTAAGTTACCTTAAAACATTGAAAAAATGACTCCTTCTCACTATTAGGTATCACTCCCCATGTGGCCCAAGGTTGAAGAAATTGTTGTTTAATACTCTTTGTTATACCTTGTGATGCAACTCTAGACGGAAGAAACCTAATTACAAAGAAAAATTAATACAAGTTACATATGTGCTGAAAATGACTAAAACTTATTTATAATAAATAAATTGGAGAATTTAAATGAAATATTACCCTCGACCATAAGGTTCAATCATCGGTCGATCATGTATAGCAACAACATCTTCTTCAACCTCTGACTCAACATCTACAGTAGGTGAGTGAACTTGAGAGGAGGAAGGTCCTGAGCCCACAATAGGAGATGGAGAAGGGGTGGGTGCCACAATTGGAGAGGAGGAAGGTGCTGACGCCACAACAGGGAATGAAGATGGAGAAGGAGTGACTGCCACAACTGGAGAGGAGGCGGGTGCCACAACTGGAGAAGGGGTAGGTCCTACAACAGAGGATGGTGATGGTATGGGTGCAACGGGTGTGGATGATATAGGTGTAATGGATGGTGTAGGTGTAGTGGATGGTGTAGGTGTAGTGTATGTAGAAGGTATATATGTGGAAACCACTTTCAAAACGTAACGTGGTCTCTTTTTCTTTGATATCGCCTTCCCCTTCCCTTTATCACTACTAGAGGGTGGGGGTCGAGGTGGGTCAGAACCTCCTGTGGACATATCTTTACATAAAAAAATAAGATTATGAATAACTTATGATGTAAAAACTCATATAAATTAAGGGACACTCAATTAATAACATAATTCATAACAAATACGGGTACAATATGTTTTTTTTACAAAATCAAAACATTTATGTTTCTAATTTTCTTGAAACATTAGGCTTCATCCTCATCATCGCCATCGTCATCGTCATCGTCATCCTCTTCTTCTTCCTCTTCCTCTTCCTCTTCCAATTCTTCAGGATTAGCTTCATAGTCATGTAATCCAAATATGCTTTCCACTTCAATGACTTCATTGCCATGTAACATTTCATCTACTTGGTAAGGGGCATCCTCTTCCACACCAT